AGTATTGAGGCCTATATTTAGAAAGACAGCATTTCTACAGACCTACAGATACTGATCTTGCATAAATGTAGAAGCAAATGAACTGAGATATGAGAAAATACATAGTGCCTATCTGAGATCAGGAGATGGGGAGTCTGGAAGTGATTAAATTTGCTCAGGGAGTCTAAATATATTAGGTCTAACATCAGTATCTCAAAGTAAACAGGGGCAAGATAAAAAGACATGGAGCAAAATTAAAACTAAATTTCATTCACGTCACTTTGCTGCTACCAGAATCTCACTGGTGAGCTCTAAAACATCTAAAAAATCAGGAACAAGTTCCTTGAAATTGCTGCTGCTAAGTCTTTAAAGTGCCTGTTTTCAAATGAGCAACAACCTCCTCCCTAATCATTTTTACTGAAGTTAGAGAAATTAGATGGGGGCCTCATTCCTCCTTTATGTCTCATGCAGAGATGCCACTCAGCAGTTTTTGTGGGGGAAAATGGCATTTAAAGGCATTAAAGTGGGACCATAAAAGTGGCATGCTTTTCTGGAGGATGAAAACACGGTGTTTGCAATTTAGAGGCCTTCTGACAGCCTTTGCTGTGGCAATTTCTGTCTCTCCAGCTCTGAACACCCCACTGCAGGCAAATTTCAGTGAAAGGATAAACAGAAGTGAGATGAGAAATGCAGAAGCCACTGCAGAAAGGCATCACCCAGGGAAAGGGATGCTGAGCTGCAGTGCATGAGTGAATGTGTTGGGCCAGGCATTTAAATATGTTTTAATCCTGAAATACAGGCAGGTGTTAGGCATCTGRATATGACAAGGAAAAGGAAGCCTTTTGATGGTTAATTATTGCCCCTAACGAGCCCTGATGTGGCATCTGATGTGGTGTTGCTGTTGGTCCCAAATATCAGAAGGACCTGGAGCTGCTGGAGAGCCCAGAGGAGGGCACGGAGATGCTGCCAGGGCTGGAGCCCCTCTGCTCTGGAGCCAGGCTGGGAGAGCTGGGGGTGCTCACCTGGACAAGAGAAGGCTCCAGGGAGAGCTCAGAGCCCCTTTTGGGGCCTAAAGGGCTCCAGGAAAAATGGGGATGAAGTTTTTAGTGTGACAGGTGTCATGGTTTTACTTGGTCYGATTTTTGGTGGTGGGGGGATGGGATCAAGAAACCACAAAGATGKCTYCTGTGAGAAGTTCTAGAAATTTTCTCTTTCTTCTCCAGCWAAAGGAGCCCTACCCCCTGTGCAAAAAAACCAAAAGCACTTTCTAGAACTTCTCACAGGAGCCATCTTTGTGGTTTCTTGATCCCATYCCCCCACCACCAAAAATCGGACCAAGTAAAACCATGACAACAGGACAAGGGTTGATGTTCATAAACGAAAGAGGAGAGAGTCGCTTTGGATGTAAAGAGAAATTTTTTGGAAAGAGTTTTGCTCAGAGCAGCTGTGGCTGCCCCTGGATCCCTGGCAGTGTCCAAGGCCAGGCTGGACATTGGGGCTGGGAGCAGCCTGGGACAGTGGGAGGTGTCCCTGACCATGGCAGGGGGTGGGATGGGATGATCTCTAAAGGTCTCATCCAACCCAAACCATTCTGGGATTCTGTGACTGAGACTGATAATTTAGAAGATAGGAAAACAACATCAAGATTGTTCCAAGCATTCAGGATTYGAGGAGCCAATGTGAGGGCAAGCCTTCCACAGGCCACTGGGCAGAGAGCCATTTAGTTCCAAAGAGCCAGAAAAAAAGGTGAAGAAAGAATGATCAGCATCTGAAGCCTCAGAGTAGCGGTAAATACAAACACATTTTTATTTAGTACCCAAAGTCCCCCATGCGTCTGACAAAAAACATACTTGACCCCTGACCCCAGTACTCATTTAGAAGAAATAGWGCCAGGAATTCCTAGGCAGTGCCACAGCCAATTTATATAAATTATATATAGGAGCAGGCATATATTCAAAGGATAGCTATATCCTGGGATCTTGGGGGTAATAAATACTCTCCCCACCCAACAAACTGTCACGCTGAATTGTGTGAAGTTTCAGATAGGAGATGCTTTTCACATGACTAATGCAAGAACAATGTAGACAACATATGTTATGATTTAAACAACAGTTTTCCTTCTTTCTGTGGGGAAAAGCGAGTACATTTTTGCTGAACAAAACCTGAGCATGGTGTTTATCCGAGGCTTAAATTAACCTTGCTGTCAGCCAGGTCTGGTAAGAGCCAGTATTTATAAGTGGAAACCAGTGCAATGAGGAAATAAGGGAAGAGAATATGAGGCTGCCATGTGTATTTATATAYATATTTCATGTTCTGGACACCCAGCCTACTATTTCAGCTGGCTTGTGGTGGCTATCTGGGTACATGTTCTTAGCCYGGAGCAAATTTGAGCTAATTGAGCCTATTTACTGCTTAGCCCAAGGCTAAACTCTGTTACCTCCCTGTGCCACYGAGCAGCTGCACACAGCCAGCAATTACCACAGCTCAGCTGCCTGTGTGGTGACTCCCTAACCTGTGTCAGCAGCATCCTCAGCGGCACGGAGAAGGTGAACCGTGATCACCTGTGCGAGAAGAAAAAGGCAGCAAAACCCTCCCAGGTTAACAGGATTCGCTCGTCACTGTCACGGCATGTGCGGGTGCAGATGGCTCCTGGAGGGCGTGGGCAAGGATTTGAATGAGAAAATTCACTGGGGGTTGCTTAATGGACAAAAATGATACCCAGCCCAGGAGATGCCCTGAGCTACTCAGATGCAGAGATTGAGAGAGGATTACACAGGCTCTGCCCTCTCATGTTGCTGCTGAAGAGAGCTGTGGGCTGCACAGACCCTCGATGTGCTCCAGTTCTCACCTGCCTGCATCCCATCTGCCCGTGTGTCTGAGCCCTAAGGACCAGCTCTGCTCTGCTGGGTGTATTTCATCCTGTTAGCATGGAGCCRTGGTGCCTCTCGAGGAAAAAGTTCTTTTAGCACAGGTTTTAGCTGGTAATAGATTTGAAAGCAAATCTGCAAGYGCACCTTGATTTCTTGGCGCTGTCAGATGTATGTCCAAACCACTCTTGGAACTGCAGAAAAAGTCTGTTTACTGAGCTAAAACCATCACTCAACAGTCCCTTCCATATCTGTATCTAAACTGCAGATCCAAGGAATTAATGTTTTGTCGAAGTAATCAGGTGAGAGCAGCTCCCTTGCTGCATTCAGCACCAGCTATATAACATGATATTATAGAATTTAATCAACTAAATTGTGCTGTGTTATGGGAGTGATAAATATGAGCTCAGAGCTTGCAGTGTCTGGGAATAAACAATCACGTTGGGYGGATGTATTTCCCATATTTCACAGCAGACAGAGGCTACGATTAGATGTGGTTTTTCCCTTCTCTCTCTCTCTCTCAACGACTTTCCAATGGGAAAGTCTAATTTAGGGATAGCATTTTTTATTAGTGGAGTGTGACATGCAGCCTTCCCCATCTGCCACAACCTGGAGTAGCTGAGAAGACGGYGGCCAGGTCACATCAATACTGGCATAAAACCTATCCCAGCCATAAACCAGCTGCCTCAGTGTGTCCAGGTAATGGCTGGGAAGCCCTGCTGCCATCCCTCCGCAGATTTGGATGAATATTACTGCCAAACAGTTTTATTAATTGTGACCCAGGTGAGTCTGTGGGAGCCACGGAGCTTCACCTTTGGGCTGAAGTGAGCCACGGGTGAGAGAGCCATTGCTAATGCAGGATAATCTCTTTTACATGAAAATGGGATGGGATGGGATGGGAT